GTTTCTCGGCTAATTGTAGAGCTGTTTTCGATAACCCATGTTGAATCTCAGTATCTTCTTCCTGAAGATGAGCCAGTTTTACAAGATCTATGCAGCCGATTTGGGTGAGGGAACAAACGCGCGACAAGGCACCTGCCACAGTGTTGTTTACTGCGGATACATGACGAATATCTGAGGCAAACTGTGAAACGTAATCCAGTTGTCGTGATTCCCTGGATGAATACTTATCTGAAGGTGAGTTCAGAGAGTACGTCAGAGGTTTGTGATCAGTAAAAATTATGAATTCACGACCCTCTACTGAATGTCGAAAATGACGTATAGCACAGTAAATAGCCAGAAGTTCTCTGCCGAATGTTCTGTACTTCGTTTCTGCTAATTGAAGGCGTCTCGAGAAAAAGGTGAGTGGTTCCCATTCTTTGTTAACCAGCTGTTGTAGAACTGCGCCAGTTGCAGCGTTTGATGCATCAACCGAGATACTTAACGGTGCCGTTGGATCCTGATACATCAGAAGTGTGGCATTCGCAATAGCTTTTTTAATCTGGTTAAAAGCATTTCGAGCAGACGCGTCAAGTTGGATCCTGATACATTAAAAGTGTGGCTTTTACAACAGCTTCATAACCTGAGCAAAATCATTTCGAGCAGACGCGTAGAGTTTTATGGATTTGTTATTCCCTCTAAGAAGGTCTGTCAATAGCTGAATCAGAGGCACAGTTGGGAATAAAGCGTCGGGAATAACTTACCAAGCCGTTAAAAGCGCGGAGAATTTTCACCGTCTGTGGCTCTGGAAAGTTCAGTAGCACCTCGACTGTAGTAGCCAGTGGACGAATGCCCTTGCAGTCAACAGTGTGACCCAGGAAGTCGAGTGAGTCAACGCCTATCTGACACTTTTGAATCCTGATGGTAACCCCATGTAGGTGTTGCCTTTGAAATGACAGGTCCAAGTGTCTAAGGTGAGTTCCCTTGTCCGGACTGGCAATGAGGCAGTCGTCTAAGTATGCGTATACAAAGTCGAGACTGCGAAATACTTCGTCTATGATGCGGTGGAATGTTTGAGCTGCATTCCGGAGACCGAATGGCATACGTAGAAATTCGAAAAGCCCGAAAGGCGTAATGATAGCCGTTTTCGGGATATCTTCTGTTGCCATCGGGATTTGGCTATACAGTTTAACCTAGTCGATTTTAGAGAGTATAGCTGCGCCAGATAATGTCGCCGTCAAGTGGTGTATATGAGGTAATGGGTGGCAATCAAGGGTTGGTTTGGTATTCACTCACCGGCAATCACCGTAGGGTCGCCAATCGCTGCTATCATTTTCGGTACCATATGAAGTGGGGATGCCCATGGGCTATTCGATGGTCGAATGATGCTAAGGGTGATCACATAGTCGAACTCATTCCTAGCTATTCTCAGTTTGTCAGGAGCCAGTCGTCGTGTTTTGGATGTCACGAGCTGTCCTGTGGTAATGATGTGGTGCATAACATTACTGGTTATGCACGGTAGATCGTTAGAGGGGCAATTAAGTTCCGGATATTTATCAACAATTGGTTGAAAGTTGGATCAAGGATTGCCTTTATCTTAACTAGTGACAAGCTGTGCCTATGTGGGTGATGCCTTTGATAGACAGACTAGTAGTATTGTCAATCAGTCGTTTTCGGTGGACGTCTACGAGTAAGTCATGATGATTAAGTAGGTCATTGTGACGTCAGAGAGAAGGAACATCCACTGAATAGGTTTGCGTGAACCTACGTTCAAATAGACGTATTTCCTACCGAAAGCTGCGATTGGTTTTCCATTTGCAACCTGTAAGTTGAAGGTAGGTTCCTTCTGTCGATCTTCTGCTGTATTAGGAAGTACGCTGACTTGGCGCCTGTGTCGACTAAGTATTGGGTCTGGTTGACCACATCATGAATGTAAAGTAGGCAACTAGTGCCACCGGCGACGGTTGCCGCCAACGCGTATCGGCGGAATATTTTCCCAGTCTTTGAGACACCAAAATTACAAGCATTCCGACAATTTACTTCCTAGCCATAAGTGTTGCTGTACCAGCACCAGTCAGGGTGTTTCAGAGAACGTGGCTTGGAATTAGATCGAGAACGTGAGTTTCGGCGTCGAAGAGAGATCTGATGACGGTAGGAGGAATTGCCAGGCATGTTTGACCTATTCATCTGCTGGATAGAGTTGCATAACTGTCACTCCAGTATCCTTACTCAAAGTCTCTTTTTGGCCAACGAGTGTATTTCAGGACCTGACCGTTTAGTTACTTCTAGAATCTTACCTGCAGAAATAGCCAAGTCATCCAGAAGAACACCCTGAAGTATTACAAGTACAGTCTGTACTGACTGTGGCAGTTTGGATAAGAAGAGTTCTCTGAAAAGTCCTTCATCGAACTGACGTTGGCCAATAACCTCTCTCATTCTTGTTAGCATGCTCACGGATGACTAATCCCCTAACTCGATGTTACGAGATAATTCGTCCAGACGCCGTTGATCCGTGAGAACGTTCCTCCTGAGGAGGGATGCTTCGAGCAACTGGTGCTAGATACTTACCTCTGGACTCGACATCTGCACAGTTACGCATTTGCTGAATTCCCGCGGGAGGGCGTGAATAGCTGCGAGGAACTGTGAACGTTGATCGCTTATCTCATGTTCACAAAAATCAGACTCAGCTATCTGAAACCATGATTAAGCATTATCTGACCAATATAGTACGAGCTGAATGGTTTTAGGAGTTCAGCGAATACGAATGGCCTTGGGATTAAGAACACTCAGGACGAAATATATGCCTATTACAACATAGTTGTCAGCCACATCTCGTAAACTGTCAACGCCCAGCTCTCGCTACGCTGGGACTCACGCTGTTCCTCGAAGCTTCTCAGAAACGCTTATGACGAACGGACGCGAAAACCAGAACCCAGTTTGGCGACTCGATAATTATTTATCCTAACACCAACATATAGCCAATGTATAACTAAGCTTTACAACTAAGTTCTATGAACAAATATTACAATAATAAATCACAATATTACTTCTTTCTGGACAGCGACTGATGAGACGATACTGGCTGATTGATGCTTCCGTGAAAATTGGGGAAGTTGGTTTTGAGCAAACAACCATGAATTGATCGTTCAATCTTCAACTACATTGACAATAGTGCAAGAAGAAATAGAAACAAGAACGAGCTCACCGTGTTTATCTGTGTATTTATCGAAGATAAAGTTCGCGGTTGGGCTCACCACTTTTCAGGCTGAGTTTATAGACGTTCGCGAATTGTACGGAGTGTACTAACGCAAGATCTTATACCAACAACTTCTATAGTATTAGTTTCTCAGGGACCAAAGGCAAAGCAAAACACCACGGTTGGTTGTCCAAACTACGACATATATTTCGGAACCAAATCGCGGAACGAAGCGGAAGCTAAGCTAGCTAGTGATCGCGCACGAAAGTGACACGATGGAGTACCAAATAGCGAGGATGCTTGACCGGAGGCCTTCAGTTAAACAAGTCGACGTAAAATCTAAGGGTCAGCATCCAATGTTCACTGATGATTCCTATGGTCACGATGTAATTCTTCTCTTAGACATAATCTATTCCTATAGTCAATAATTTTGTGGAAATATTTACCGCTACAGTACTTTGGAGCACCTTGTGATGTCGCTGTCACATAAATTCCATCTGCTCTAAATTCTAGAAATTATTGTATTTCACATTTCTTGAAGACGAATCGGGCAAATTTGATAATCCCTTTAAGATATCGTTATTTACCGGTACGATTGCAGTTTGAAAACATTTTCCACACGTCAAAGATTTTAGTGGAGTATTGAGTCGACTCAGGAGCGAATTGCACTGTATTTGCCGAACTAATACATTAAGTAGACGGTGTCTTGGAAACTGTGTTCTCTTGTAAAACAATAGGGAACTCTGAAAATAAGCGAATTTCCACACCACATGTATACTTTTACTACCAGTGTTGTAATCTTGTGGTAATGACAGTTGGTGTCCGAAAGGGCACAGGATAATGATTATGCTACTTTGTAGTTGCGTATTGCTGTACTCTCCAACTTCTGTATTCATCGGCATTCCGCCTTTTTTCTTCACTAGCTAGGTTGTCGGCGGTCCAGTCACCGTGTAAGGGTAGGTCCGTCGTAGAAGTTAACGAGCCTATGGACAGGAAATACATTTATCACAATCAGTGATCACATAACGGCCGACTTCAACTGGTTAATGAGCTTATAAACACCGAACGAAATTGACAGCTGGTCACTTATAACTGGCGAAAATGAAGCTCTGAAATTAAACAGTCGCACGCATACCTTAATACCAAGGTTTTGCAAAGTTTTAATTGCTATGCAACAAAGTATGTTTAGCTGCTTGAAAATTCTGCTGGATTAACCCAGCCGACCAGTCATACCATGTGAAAACTCCCACACAGCACATTCCGTGATGTCTCATCATTTAGGTTTTCCTTCAGTGAAATAAAAATGACACTGGGTGAAATGTCAAATAAACCTGATGGTAGTATTGAAACACCGTGCCTGTGTATTACTGAACCAAGTTTATCAAAGCCTAGAAAACCACCGCCAACTAATCTGAGCTACTTTCGTTAGTCCCATCCCCAGATTTCCCTCTCTTCATGGACTTAGGTGAGGTTTGCAACAGACAAAAAAGGACAGTAACAACCATCCTTTCGTGTTCGTAAATAATAATTTGAAGGTAAAGTTAATGACTGCAGTCTTGATCACTATGTTCCACGAAAAGCAGGTGACGGTATTCTCCGCGTTGAAAACCTCCAGAGAGCAGGAACTGTTTCCTCATCATCAAGGAACAAGCTCTTAAGAAGAGTATTGGATAAAAGATATATCAAGGCCATTGAAGAATGAGAAAATCTGTCAATCATTTGTCAACTGTAATTCTTACGTTAGCTTGCCAAAAGTACTGGATTTGAGCAGCGTCTGTGGGTGTTTATTCACGTGAAAATTTAATCAGCTTCATATGGCAAAATTTCAAATGTCCTAGCCTTCCGACTATATTTAGGTTGTTTGTTTTGATGAATAAGTCATCATCATCCCACATTCCACTACCAATACAAAGCTTTTTATTTTCTCAAACATGGTAAGAATTTCCCAGTCCTGTATATGTCACTGAAAAATAGTTCCTTTTTACAGAAGCCGGCTGCAAGAGATGGAGTATGCACTGTAAGTTTGTTCGCTTGAGTTTTTTCAAGTCACATCATGGTTTTTGACATCAATAGTAAACCATAGTTTTGGATCATATGATACCCATATCTCATGCTAGATGTCGTAAAATAAAAGTTTCTTTTAGACATTCTACAATTGAAAATATTTAGGCTTAAATGCTGAACTTACTAGTGCGATTGGCCACGATCTGAGCTTTCGAACCGCATTGGAGTTACGCTGTCAGGCATTTTGTGGGGTATTGCGCTGGTGGTCCTGGAAACATCTCTCATAAGAGCAATCGAACGTTTTGAATAGATACTATGTATATTGTTATATATGTTATATTTTTGGTTTACAAAATATTTTCATTCAGTTTTATAAGGTGCAGTATGCTTCAGTTTTTATTTGTCTGCTTTTGAGTTTCTCAAATGGGGCAGCATCATTAATGTTTCCACCAAATGTGTAGCTTTTCTGTTAGCATTCATTTTCAGTCAGATTTAACACTTGGCTTGTAATTGCCTTAGTGTATAAATGACCTTAGTTACTTTTAAGGTCTTTTTCAGCTTTATGACCTTATTTTGACGCGCTTTGGATGGACAGCTTATCATTCGAATCCCACTCAGTAAGGTAATGGTGCTAGCATTTTCTTCGTTCACACTGCAGAAATTTCGGTGCAAAATCTTCAGGCGCATTGCAGAAAGTGAGAAAGTCATCTGCAGTCTGCTCCGAAGTATCTGCAGTGCACCTGAAGCCAGTGCCAAGTGGGTAATATTTGGTGCGTCACATAAATTATTGTTTTGCGGGTAACGAGATACTTTTAAGGAGTTTATAGGCATACTATTGTGAAGAATTTATCAAGTGTCTTTGTATATGTTTTAGAAAGTACCGTAGGTGAACACATTTAATTGGCGAAGACTTAGATCATGAAATAGAGAAATGAATTCTACTTCGTAAGATATGACTGTTAACTAGGTGCATTGTCACTGGATTCCTAAAAATCTGTATTGAGTGACCTACAGAAAAAATTACAGGTGATGAATATAATGTGAATATGATGAATACGACTATGAAGACATTATGCCTAGTGTACTTAATCATTGAAAGTTGAGGATTATAGATTCAGTAATCAAAACACTATTTTATTTATAGATCAACACTTAACCCTACGTCACAGCTTCGACATTCTCTAACCCTTATCAATATACAAAGGCAAAAAAATTACTCGAAAGTTTGCATTTCAGGCCATGCATATGTGTTTATTTTTGTGGTCTACATATGTTTGTTAACGAAATCTTACCAGACTAGTGTGAAAAACCACTTTATATCGGATGATTAGATTACTGACGTATTTAAACATGGATATGCTGAGTACTATAAGTTCAGAAGAAAAGGGTGTATTGCCTAGATGGAACGAAATAAGCAGCTACTTCGATAGTGTCCATTTGAATAGATTTATAAAGTGAAACGGGATTCTGCTGTTTTGGGATTCCTGTTTGAAGTTTTATGCGTTGACTGTGATTAAGACGTTGTTTTATTGATAGCTTGAGTCTATAATGATATATTGACTTTAGTTAATTCGATTAATTTGCAACTTACTAAATAACGCTTATTTTGTAAACAAACCTTAGACAATATGGTTAAGCTGGTGGAAGTTACTGATTCTGTGTATATAGGTTTTCATAAATGTTTGAATTTTATAAAAGTGTACAATTGGTGGATGGTGGCTAGCAGCGGAATCCAGGATGCGCATTTCGTCCTATTTGGGACTCGTCAGCTGGATGTACCTGCACTTCTCAGTGAGTGATGATGTTTCCACCGAGGCTCGAACCCAGTGCCCATAGTTTCAAACGCCAAAGCGTTATCCACTAGACCACTTGGGCCACGAGAGCCATCTCTTGTGCAACAGGTCATATTAATTATTGCATTGAATTTTTGATTTTCCCGTCGATGGCCCAAGTGGTTTAGTGGATAACGCTTTGGCGTTTGAAACTATGAGCACTGGGTTTGAGCCTCGGTGAGAACATCATCATCACTCACTGAGAAATGCAGGTACATCCAGCTGACGAGTCCCAAATAGGACGAAATGCGCATCTTGGATTCCACTGCTAGACACCATCCACCAATTGTATACTAATTAAATGCCCAGACATCGTCGAGGCATCTGCAAAAGAAGCCGACATGTCAACCTGAGACCGAGCACTTCGGTCCAGTCAATCGACGGGAAAATCAAAAATTCAATTCAATAATTTATAAAAGTGGTTATCAAGGAAACGTAGAAAATGGAATAATTATAATTCATTTGAGGTTGTGTTCAACCAAAATCGAAGTCAGGAATCACTAGACGACCAACAGTTTATTTTGAATCAATACAGCTTTTATTTGATCTCTTTCCATAGTTCAGATATTAATGAATGACTCCATCGCTGAGACAGTGAAGTCAGACGGTAAAAATCTATGGTTGGAAACAATTGGTGACATGGCTCAAAATCGTTCTCAGTGGCGCAGATGCATCCACTCCTTGTGACTCATGATCTCCAATGAAACTGTTTTGTTTTTCTTTATTACTCCTTTGTCTCACACCTCTGCTCACTGTCTCTATTATGCTTTTCTTGTACTTTCTTCTCTTGCTTCGCGTGCTACATGGAGTGTGGCGACTTGAACTTCCGCACATTTGTGCAAAGTTCTATGCCGAAAACAGACAGACAGACAGATTGATGAAACATTTTTTAGAGATATTTAGAACTCAATGTCAACACAGTGATAACGATGATTATTTGCTACAATTTTTCTGTTGTAATAAATTACTTCTTGTTAACATGAATTTTAAACATAGTGGGGTACATAAGCTTGTCTTCTCGCTATTGGTTTTTGAAGAATGAAGCATATGGATAAAAGTTTATGCGAAACTTATTCAACCATAACACTTAATTATCATTGTTTTACTTGGTTGAATGCAGATTGTTCTGTGAAATCTGTATGTTAAAATTTATTGAAGTACTGTTAAATCCAACATACCTTTCAATTTTCGTTACACCAATTAACGCTGCAGCACTTATTCCAACTGGATTTGATTGTTCTACGCAGTGAAGGTACCATAAGTGTAAAATGACCATCAGGTATCTAAAGTGATTGCTAAAATTGATGACCAGTAGGAGGCCTAGAGGCTTATCAATGATACATGTTTAGCTTATCTGATGATAATTAGAAGTAAGCATATGAATAACGTTAGGTAAGAAACAAGTAATAATTTATTTAAGTCGCAAACATATCTTTATTTCATAAAGATATATTTGGTGTGAATTTTTTCATCATCACGGAAACTACTTAGGTTACTGATTGCAGAGTTGGCAAGGTATATTCTTTGTGTGGAAGTTTGTAAGCTTTCAATTTCCGCTGGCTTATATTTTTAACATGGACATAATAATGTACTCAAAAATAAAAAGTGTGAAGTAGATAACATTGTGTCGGTGATGTACCTATCGTATATTTGTGATTTAAGAGTATAATGTGATTCTGTATACCTATGAATTTATAGGTTTGCTGGTTATTTGGTTACGACTAAAGAATGCCTCTCTGAATTTTACCTTCACGTACACCTATTGGTATAGGACTGTTGGAGGCTACTATATATTTTCTGATAAATTTACGCTACTTACTGCATTAAGTACTTTTCTTATTACTTTGCTCTCTACGTTAAACGGAGATTAAACCGTACATGTCCTGTTGTTTACTAACTTTTAATTCTCATAGACGTTTGAGAAGGTCGTGGTGCAAAATATACTGCATGGTCGGTCCATAGTATTATGTGAGGCGATACAGTCAATCAGTAGGTGGAAATTCGTTAAGGCTGCATTTCCCCATGTATTACATTGTGGTGCTGTAATGCTTCGAGAAAAGTTACGTGACAAGTCTGTTGCAGATCAACAACACCAGAAACATGGAGCAGCAAATAACAGTGAATTGTCACATGATAGAACACAACTGAACTTCAGTCAAACAGAAACTAAACTTCTATATACACTTCACTGGATTCTACTAGATGCTGCTTCTGAGTGTGAAGATGCAGAGATAGAGGCTTCTAATCATCCAGGTAAGTATTTTTTTAGAAGCTTTGTACTGAAATACTTTGTAACTTTTCTCCTACTAAAGCTCTACTGCTTTATTGCTGCAATATTTCCGTTAAGCAATTATATATATATATATGTATATATCATGCTACATGTCTTTGACTAATCATAGGCGCATAGATTTGTATTTTGAAGCCGTGTGAAGTCATAGTAAAATTCTGTGCTGCAATTTGCAATACAGCAACTCAGGAAATCGCATACCTTCATGCTGCATATGAAATAAGCGTATATATATATTATATTAAATGTCCTTTGCCAACACTTTCGCAGTCTCATTTTTTCTAATTCAACTTGGAATAACTACTAAGTCTTTCGTTTGTATCCAGCAGATGCAATTAGTCGGGTGTAATTAATATTCATCTTACAGTGTGTTGGCTTAAAGTGATTCCACGGCAGTTACATTTGTAAGCTGTTTTATTTGTTGACAAAAGCTACCTAAAATACCATTAAAATAAACGCTTGTCTTCCAGCTTATAGTTTGAGCAATTCAACTGATTACAAAATAAATTTAGGTAAATCACTACTGCCACCAATTTTTCGTCATTACATAAAGAAATAGTAACCTTGGATGTTCGAAATCACTCTGATGAGAAATGGCAGAAGATACGTATTTTCTTATACTTAACTAGAGATAGTCTGAGTTCATTTTCTGTTCTGGAAAAAAAACACAAAATGCAGTGTCAGAATAACACTAACTTGGTTATTAAATTGTTTGTTTTGCGCAATTCTTAGTTACTTATTTACCGTCAGTAATATATATATATATATATATATATATATAATATACGAAACGTCTGAGATAATTTATTCCAAATCTTGATCAGATGAAGGATATGGGGAGTCTGTTATGTAATGCAGTTGACGAAATAACTACGAAATAAAATGGATCATTTTTATCCTAAATGTGTTTTTATTGCTTCATTCAAGAACATAAACTTACAGACGTGCAATATTTATTCAACTGTTTACACTCACACTGAATTCATACACAAATATTATTATTCCCTTAGAATTCGACAAATCTCCACTTCCTTCTATTTTATGTCGTCCTTTTCAGCTGCGTCCACAACTGAGCTTAATCTCTCACATCCTTCTCAAACAATGTCCTCGATGTCACCCTCCGACGACCTACCTGTCGCTTACCATTTGGATTCCACCCAAGTGATATCCTGAAACACGATGTCATTCGGCCGCTTCCTCAACGCATACATGATCCGCCTCCATTTTCTCCTACATTTGCGCTGAGAGACTGGCTTGTTGCCACAGTTTCTTGTTACTAATTTTTTATGACTGGCCATCTGATCTAATATGAAGCCGGCGAAGGCAGCTCTCTATTAAAGTCTCCAGTTCCCTGTTGGAAATGCTTTTTGTGACACGCAGTGCAACCTTCTGACCCGTATAGTAGAGCTGACACATTTCACATTTATGTTGAAAATTCGAATCTTGTTGTTTACACGACAGAGTGCAGAAGATTTCCAAGCTGATTGATTTCAGGTTGATGAAGGCGTATCTTGCCGTTCCGATTCTGGCTGGATTTGACATCCTCATTCCATCCTCCTGTGGTTGAAAAGATGCTGACTGCCTAGATAGGTGAAGCCAGGAAGTAATCTGTGTCAAACTTCTCGCGTTGATGGTGATTGGTGCTCGTTTGTCATCACTCTCGGCTGGTTAGTTGGTTATATTCATCACCTCCGTCTTCTCCTAGTTCACATAGAGTCCTGTCTTCTCTGCCAGTCTGCTTCTTTAGCCAGTTTGTTGGTTTCCGCCTGTAAGTCTTCGAGTTTGTGTGACATTAAACATACATCATCTGTGAAATACAGATCATCAAGAGTCTTCTCATCGGTGGTTCAGAGTATTCCTGTCTTCTCACTCCCGTCACACGTCCCATATGATGCATAATCCAGTCGACCACAGTTAGGAAAATCAACGGTGATAATATGCAGTGGTCCTATCTTACTCCTGTATGCACTTCGAACTCCTCACTGAGTGTGTTTTCCATCGTGGATCACCTGACTGATACGTGCTATTGTCACGTAGCCAACTGTTGAATGAGGTTGATAAAGATCTGGGTCAGTGCACGCCATACTGTTGAAACAGTTTCCAAATTACTTCTCGGTCAACGCTGTGTGATGGAGGCCTTTTCGAAGTCGATGAATTTGAGGTAGAGGTTTAACTGTCATTCTATACTGCGTCGGTGGCACAGTGGTTAGGACTCTCGCCGACCATGCACATGGTCCGGGGTTCGATCCCCGGCCGACGCACACTTGATAACTATGGTCGGCCTGCCAAATTTGGGCCACCGATATCCATGCTGAAAATTCCATACTTGTACCAAAAATACGCTGTGGAATCAAGCTGTAAATAAAAATTAAAAAATTAAAAAAAATGATGACGATGGGTGGATTTGAAATTTGATCAGAACATGATTTGGCTTTAATGAATTCAGCTAGCTTTTCCCCGTAAAGTTGGCGGAGTTCTGCATCCAGTGCATTCTCTATTCTCTTCACGATGAGGTAACTTAGTATTTCACTTGGCGTGGACAAGAGAATTAATTATTCCACTCCAGTTCTTTCAGACTAAGGCCTAAGTTGGTTGTCTCTGGCAGAAAGACAAGACAGCTAGCCGTTATTCCAAACAGTAGGCACCTATCCTTCCTTCTAAACCTTTCGAAATAATGGAATGAGCGTATCAGCTGCAGTTTCTGGGTCTGTTTACAGTGATTCAGAGACGGCAGAAATTCCGTCTGGCCCTGTTTCATCCCCAATTGGATTTCAATGGCTTGATCACAATGAAGATTTGTGCTTTGGTTGGAGGATAGGTGGTGTCGACTAGGAGTCAGTTCTGTGCGTGCTTCCAGTGGTGGTATTTCTGTTCGAGTTTCAGGTGATGGTCGATTAAAGAGTCTTTTAAAGTGATCAGTCCATTGTCTTACTTGTTTCTCCTCAATGGTGATCAGGTTCCCTTGAGCATCTTTTATTGGTTTCACCATATGGATTGATCTCTTCGCCGGATAACGAGCAGCCTGACTATCTGATATAATGTCATCAGGTCTGTTTGACGTGAACCCGCCTGTTGTGCCCAGTTGGCGGCCAGTATGTCGTAGAATTGTCTTTTGTCCTTCCGAGTACTCTTCTTCACTTCTCCATTCAGTTCAGTGTACATTGAAATTAGCCTCTCCTTCCGATGTCCATCTCTACATTGAATCATCTTCTCTTTCACTGTCCTCCTCTCTCATCTCCTCTCCTCTCCCCTCCTAACTTCTATTAGCTTCCAGATGCCCGTTGAGAGCCATTCCTTGTTGTGTCTCTTCTCCCTCCCTTGAACAGTTGTACACGTTCACCTGAATATCGACTTCAGAGAGTTAGTCCTAATATTCTTCCACTCAGTTTTCCTCAGTATTAGTGTCACGTAGTGTCTCCGACTCTGCTCCGATAGCTCCAGTCAAGGTATCTTCTTTTGTAGTTGCATCTTTCGGTTTCCGAATGTTGAACGTGAATACAACGGCCCGTCGTCAGTTGTTTTCAGAGATTTCAGCTTCACCCTGAAGATTCATTGAACTAGATGATGGCCTGAACCCACATCTGCTCACCTTCTCGACTGAGTGTCCTACAGGCTGCGTTTCCACTTCCTTCAGGAATATTGAGATTCGGTCTATCTGGTTTGTGGTATGTCCGTCAGGCGAACTTCATGCTTGTGCTTGTATACGCTCCCTCCGACCTCCAAATCATTAGAAGCTCAGTGGTCTGTGAAGAGTTCTCTGTTGTCATTGATTTCGCTGAGCGGTGGGGGGGGAGAGCCTGTTGACTCATGATGACCTCTCTTCCTATGTTGTCTGCTCCCAGTCCGGTTGGAATTCATATCGTCCATGGGGAATGTGATGTCGCCATTCGTCATGTTGTCCACCACTGTTTTTAGTTGTCAGGAGAAATCCTCATTTTTCTCTTGTTTCGTGTTGTTTGTATCAGTGTGAGTAGCATTGCATGATAATTGTGACCTTCCTTGACCTTGAGTTGAATCTTTGTGTCATGGTGGTGCAGGATGAAATTTGTCCCCACTGCATTAGGACTCTGGCTGCCAGTGGTGACATCATGATAGCCATTCAGTGCCTGAGTGTGCTCGTGGTTGTCGTCTAGGTGACCAGGTCGAGGTAGATAACTGACTCACTGTCGACAATTTTGACAACGCACATCGATTCAATTTGCTCTTGCAGATTCTCAGTACTTCTAGGCCATATCTTTACATTTCGTTGCCACCTGGTCAGCCTTCATGGCTGACTTCGTACATTTTGCGTGCATAGCACGTCCACCAGCGCGCCCGGTCATTTCGCGTCTTTGATTGCAGCGAATGTTTTCTTATTTTTAATATATTTCCTGTGCGTTGAAGTTTCTTTAGCAGTTTGACAGGTTTGTTGGTGTGATGTTGGTAGCCCCACGCAACCCTCTCTCTTTACGCGGGTTGGTACCGGCTAGAAAACTAGCAAACTAGTTAATTAGGTCAGGTTATCTACAAAATTGAATACCATCCAATAAACTTAATTGGTTTACTTGGATAAATATTTGTTTGCATGTATGACAGCACCTTTCAAATCAAAGCTGATTGTTTAGTTTTAGTTGTAGCCGTTTCTAAAATATTGAATAACATCTTTATCTGCGTGTTACTGATTTCAAAGATTTTATCATTTCGTGGGTCATTTTTACTCTTTAACGATCATTTAAATTATCGTTAAAAGACAGGAGGAACACTGATAAATTGTTTTATTCTAAGTCAGTCTTTTTCTGACTTCGCTATTCTCTACTTACTAATATTTTTGCAAACTTTAATAAACTGGAATTAAAGTGAGTTCAACCGCAATGTAGTTAGTTTCATTCCTGAATCTTTTTTATTTTGAAACCTTTTTGATTTTTAATGACAACTGAATCAACGTGAAATCCTTAAAGCGACTACTTTAGAGTCAACTGTGATA